CGGCAATGGCGCAATTCGTTAGCACTTCGCTTTGCATGTTAAAGCTGCCAGGTTCATTTCCATTGTAAATTTTCTCTTATTGACTTATAGTTCCTTAAACAAGGAATTCACCAACGGTGTTTCGATGCAAAGAACAGAAAAACCTGTGAATAACGGGGAACGTACAGTGTTTTGGTGTGGCCATGTTAAAACATGCGAGCCTGACGACAATGCCATCTAAGGGGTGGCAGTTCGTCTTGACCTACGTGACAACTGACTAAAACTCAGCACATGTAAACACAATTTAATTTAAAATTTTTTCTTGCACTCAGGTCTTTTAGGATGCGTTCTAGTCACTCGCTGTACTTTTTCGCATTGAAGACACTACTCTGCAAAGCACTTTAGCCATTTAGCATTTTCTGCAATAGTGACGAAATATAGCAGCGTGCTTGAAGTTTGTGATACACGTTCAATCTAATGCCTTTCATCTGAATATTAAGTGTTCATTGTATCGACCAAATAAGCATACCTCGTTTCATTTACTTTAGCGACATGACATTGCTCAACCTTGCGGTTCTCGTGCTAGCAGCTTCTGAACGACAGGATATTGATCAGCTGTCATCCGTTGATCAATCTCTCAGAGTAAAATCTCTCAACATTCTAATAACGTCATCTTCGAAGGTCAGAAAACAAAATCATATTAACATATAAACAAATATCCTATTAATCTTTACGGCTAGATATAGTTCGTGAAACCACTAGATTCAAGATCACTTTGTATAAACTCTTAAAATGTCGAAAAGGATTTTCAAGCGTGTGTTCGCAGCAAATTTCTCAGCAGGTTTAGAATGGTTTTCGCATCGATGAAAAGCAAAATGTAATAAACATATAGAAATGCGAAACTTCGGTATTTTGCCTTTGTCGAAATAAAACGCCATATGTATTAGAAGCTTTGCCATGAAGGACAGTTGCATTTCAGTTTCAAATGCATAGTTGTGTCACTGTATGAAGAATAAAATGTGCTAGCCTATGCGATTCAAAGAAAGTTTATTTGAAATAGTAAAATGATTTATCTCCCGACATGTTGCCACGAGGTGAGGATTTTAAAAAAGATCTGAGTTATTTTAGGAAACCTTAGTTATGGAAATTTGGACCTAGTGAAAATTACCCTGAACGGACTTGGAAAAATTTAAACGTATGACAGTTTTACTTAACTCGTATGCTTATTTAACAGCAGTTTTCAGCAAGGAAGACACCCCACAGGTCTCACTCTGTTTACCGTTGAAAACGGATGTGTAGTGCACTTGTATTCATACAGTAATAATTTTTAATGCTTAAGTACGCACGCTGCAGTAGATTGCAATCATTACTTGAAAAAGGAACAGTGGAAACAAACAAAGGTGGAAGAAGTGAACCTACGTGTAAACGTATCAGAATTGATTTAGAGACGAAAATGAAAATTATGAAGAGATATAAGAACGGACGAAGCTTAACGTGCACAGAAAATATATTTTTCTCAAAAAAGCAGCAGCAAATAGAGCCGTAAAACCTACTACCCCTTTAAAGTCAAAAATGATAACAAACCAGGGCCTTCTGCATACATTATGCTACTGCATGAACTTAAGAAATAGGGCATCACTGACGGGCACGAATGGGTCAAATCCGACCTTTGTTAAATTTCTGGTACATAAAGTTTGCGGAACCATTACCAATAAACTTAGCGTTGGAAAATATTTGAAACAAACCATTTCGGCCATCAGAACCTGTTCAGTGCCCTCTGCTACCCGGGGGCGTGGCAGCACTACGACGGCTGACGAAGACCGACGCAACGACGACGAAGATACCAGTCAGCAACGTAGGAGGCAGACAGCGCGATGCCATTACAGCACGTCAGAAAAGGCTCCACGAAAACGACACCACCAGTGGGAACTAAAAGTCGAAAACTGGAACATATCCTCACTCAGAGGAAAAGAACAAGAGTTAGTTGATAAGGCAATAAGGAACCAACTCAACCTTGCTGGACTCTTGTCAACGAAGCTCCAAGACTGGTTGAACCTCACCTGGTGGAAACTATTCTACTCAGGCGTCGATATCACGGTTCGCGCTCAGGTCAGTCTTAGTGTTCTGGTAGAACCCAACCAGGATGACAGAATGAAATCCTGCCAGCAGAAGAGCCACTATCCTTCGACTTATGCCACAGAAAACTAAAGCGCTGAGGGTTATGCATCCAGTTTAGAACGAGAATTGGAGTTCTTCTTTGAGGAAGTTGAATATCCTCCAAGAAGTGCCGAGTACGTCTCTCTCTTCCTCACAGGTGATTTTAATGCGCATGTCAGAGTAGAGGCTGAGAAGGGGAAAGGTGTGACTGGAAGAAATGGCCCTATCAGGCCTCAGCAATAACGGGACGACATTATTCCGGTTTTGTGCAAAG